AGAGAGAGAGAGAGAGAGAGAGAGAGAGAGAGAGAGAGAGAGAGAGAGAGAGACTGAGAGAGAGCCAACTTCAAACTGGAACAACTCCGATACACACAAATGTAGGGAAATACGCAAAATGTCCGCTTTTGGATAAAAAAATAACGTAACAGCCCCAACGTTGTCACCTGATGCAACGATGAATAGTAGTTTTTTTGAAGTCTTGTTTCGAGATGGAGGTGAAAATGTGGTATACATCCACAACAGATATTTAACATGCATGTGTCCAGTACCATCAGTAAACGAGATTATCCCGTATTAAATGATCTACTTCAGTTGCTAAATACATGATATCAACACTATTGGCAAACGGCTTACTGAGTACATCTTTATGACATAATCTGACTTGAATTGCTTCTAGAAATTTTACTTTCTGGGGCGTAAACTTACGTCCTTATTTCAACAAACATGCCGCTTCGGCATGTATTTCAATTGACATATAAAAATATGTGGTCTGTTGGTTTTTTTTTAGAAATTAGAAACCCAGTTTCATTAAAATTTGTAGCAAATCGAGAAATAGACAAAGTATTAATTAGCATCACATTGAAATCAATTTCCACAGTCACAAAGCTGTTGTCGTTACAGGGATTTATGATCCATTGCCATGGGCATTATTGATCTTTTTAAAAACTACAGATACTGACAACATTTAAGACGCTGCACACTTTTTTCTTCAACTCGTTTTCATCAGACCTTTGGCAAATTCAAAGAAATTCTCTAGAGAAGATTTTTGCAAGAATTATTCCATTTGAATTAAAGCTGCATCGAAAGAAAATCATTTATTATAATCGCTAGTAAAGTAGATAAATGCGAGGAAGCCTTTTCTTAAATTCTCATAATTAGCCCAAATCACTGTTACTGAAATGTTACTGTGAACCGTTACATTGACACCAGCCCTGAAATTTCACAAAATTCAGAATCACAGGAAAATGTGAACGCAACAAGTAGTTAAGAATGACGGTACACTTTTATTTTAAGAGGTCATTGAGCAAAACGTGTCCATGAATTGAATGGAAAATAACGCAGGATACACGTTAAAAAAAATAAGATATGACTTGTCAACTAAGTTTGCGAACGGCCTTTCTTTTTCGTTTGTGGATTTGAACTAAACATAATAGTTAAAAATTATAAGTTAACTGAATAAAGTTTTATTTGTGTCCAATAGATTTTAAACTTACCCCAGTTACGATCTAATGAAATCTCCAAATATCTTGACGGATTCTTTACAGCGAGGCTGAGACAAGCTATCCGACTAAACTGACTTGATAGACAAAGTAAAAACAGAGTTTCTCAATTGAGATCATAGATCGTAAATATTACTCAAACGTAAATTTTAAACACAGCTGCGAATACTTAAATCACAATTTCAACACCATTTTAACGAAAACACACGATTAACAAAGATAGAAATATTATGAATATTTATTCAATTACGATATTGAAGGAATCTTAACTTCTCCCCTAATAAGCGGACAAACACAGCTTGAATAGTTTATTCAGTTATGTAAACAAAAATATCAATTAGTAATATTTGAATCACGTAACATCAGAATTATTGGAAAAAATTCACGCATTGGAAGGACTTATTTTGCCTTTCGTAGACCTTGAAAAGTAATGTTATATTTTTTCTCAGAGGCTTACGTGGATTGTAACCATGTAGGTATCTTTTCGTGTCATCTAGGCAGTTATTTGCCGGTAACATAAATTCTGTTTACAGAGAAATCAATTAGCATATCAGTGATATTGAAATTATATTACATAGAATGAGTTTAAACGTTTTCTCAAATTACAGAGGACACACGTTTTATTTTTTTGAACTAATTATAACTTTTCTATCGTCTTTCTATCAAGTTTCGTTATCGTCTGGAAATATAACATAATGTTTGCAATTTTGGAAATCTTTCATTTGTTTTGTAAGCGGCACTGCTTTTGATTCTCGTTCTTTCGATTTCTTTTGTTTCATTTTTAATGCGCACGCGCGAAAGAATTAGCAGTTATTATTGATCTATTGAGGTGTCGTGACGTAGTTCTTGGTGTTGTCTTCAAAATTCAAATTGGTCTTTTTAGTTGTTTTGGGTTACTGAATTATTTGCATTACTGAGTTGATTTGTGAAACTTTTAAAATTTTTATCAACTCAAAAAAACTGACATCTTGCAACTTTACGTAAATTCTGTTGAAAAGATTCCGAAGCAAATCGAAGCAAGCTTGTAGCAAAAGTTGGTTCACGAAAAATCAATGAAATCATTGAGTAGAGAAGATGAAATATGCGTGAAATGATAAAGAATAATTTAATGATTAGTGAAAGCGATGGACATGTTAAAATTAATTATCTCGATAGTCATGATATTCAGTTCACTAAAGTGAACAAAGAAACGATTGACATGTAATCATTAAACATTTGGTCTCATGGAAAACTAGAACTGCTGAATGGAAAAATTTTGTCCCTTGAGTCTTGCATTCACAAAAAAGAAATTGTCCTTTTCTTGTAAAAAAGAAGAAAAAACTCTTGACCAGTAAAAGATGAGGTATTTCGAAACTTAGCACCTACCGGCAAGGAACCAATTTCCACAAGTATTTTGACATTTCTGTTAAATAAATATTGCTCAGAAACGATCGCGAGTGGTTGGCGATCCTTCGAGAAAGAGGACTAGACTGCTAATCGTCCTTAATAATTTGTGACCGAGATTTTGAGCATAGAACTCAACGAGTCCGCTTGCAAGTTCTCAAAGGTATCCGATGAGTTTCCGGCCAAGGTGAAAACCTGCATAATAGCAACCATTAACTATTTTCGTTTTTTAAGTGTAAAATGACGGCATAAAGTCTCGATACTAAACAACTGAATGCTACTTTAGGTCTAGTGCTCTTAATTAAAAGGCTTAAACTTCACAGTGTCTTGTTAAGGAGAAAATACCTAGATAGTTTAGTACCACCTTATCTAAATAATTATTTTTATTTTAATGCCTCTGTAAACACAGTTTCGACTAGACGCTGTAATGACATTCGTATCCGAAAGTAAGCCAAGAGGCTGCCAAGAGATCTTATTTTGGTTTTTTACCATAAAATATACCTAATGACCTCATAAAGCTCTGTAATATTATTATAATTTCTCTCCCCCCTCTTTTTGTTGGCAATTACAAAAAATTATTCATCGCTTGAAAAAGGAAAAACTTCTTGCAGCCTCCACGGGATTTCAGGGAATAAGGCGAACGCACGCACACGACACGTTATAACTCTCTCGCACGTTAAGGGCATGACACGCTTACCGTGTAGATATGTGCATAAAAAAATTGATTTTGGAAAGCGTGTTTGTAGCCATTCTTCATATCTGGCTAACACCGTAGAACTTTGTTTCTAGAACACGCTAGATTCTTTGTTTTGCTTTCACACGCTCAGTTCCTTTATTTCCCTAACACGCTAGCTTATCTTGGACAACCTAGCTTACTTTGTTACTTGTGTTTATCAGCTGCTTAATTGTGAGAATGGTACGGTGTTTGTGAGGTATACTGCTTACAGAATGTAAGTGAAAACGAAGAAGATCTTTTGTCCTTTTCGAGAGTTGTAATAAAAAAGGAAACATTTACGGCAAATAACGGCTCTTTCCCTCAGGATTTTCACAGGAATTCAGTGAGAACGACTTGTTCACAAGGTCCAGAGGAGCTCAGTTTGAACACATGAATTACCTTTTTAAAACTTAATTCTTACTTTGTAAAATATAAACCCTTATCGCTTCACGCAGTTAATATGCCCAGTACCGAATCTTTGTGACTCCTTTAGCAACTGTTACAGTTTTTTGGCTTCATGTCTCCTGATCAACGCGGTCGCTGTTCGTCACTCGATGCAAATCGGCATTTTTAAAATAAATAACCACCAGTTAGCCGGTGCAAAACGAAGTTTTCCGAGCAGAAGCCGCGTATTATTTACTGTACACCGATCTTGGCATCTTACGAGCTCTTAGTCTTTAGCACTGCGGTATATACCTTGCGTAACGCAACTGTAACGTCGACATGTTCTCTTATGTTTGGCGATTTAGCGACCAAAGTTGCACTAGGTATTAAGTATCGTGTTGGCCGAGCGTGTAGCTGTGCCAAGAAGCCTTACAGCTTAGGACGTACTACTTGTACAAATCAGAAGCAACTTTAACTTTAAGAGGCGTGTTATAAAATTGGCACGGTCACCATATTATATCGTGCAAAGTTGCAAGCAAGATCTTAACACGGCTCCTTGTCTCTAC